AAAAAAAAAAAAAAAGTATAGCTGACTACTTAGGCCCCTATCTTAGGAGCTAGAGCCAAAGCCATAGGCGGTGAGGGCTTATGGCTTATGGGTCGACCCGAGAATGAAAACAAAAATTGGGCTCTAAGTACCTACAGGGAGGGGGCAACTTACCCGAACCGTACAATGTAACTGCCTCAAAGCCACCCCCCAAAAAAACATTGCAGCACTTCGCAACTACAGTGGACCCTGTCGCTTTAAGAACGCATGTTTGTGCATGCAACTACTTTCGCCCCTTTTACCTCTGGATTTTAGCCCATTTTTCGTTGCCATGTACTCTTGGACACGTTTGGGAGACTAAGGCAGCCACGGAAAAAGATCGCCGGCGCCGCATAGAACCAGGCGCTGGTCACTGCGGAGGAGAAGGCTAGCACCCTCCAGCGCGGCAGCCTGCTTTCTTGGTATTGCTGCTGCTACTACAACTGCTACTGNNCTCCTCCTCCTCCTCCTCTTGCTGCTGCTTGTGCTACTATTAATACAACTAGCACTATTTCTGTGATGAATTTCAGGGCAAAAGGTTTAGGGACATGGTTCAACTATAAGGTGTTTACAGGGGTTGTGGAGGGTTCGTATGTTTTCAAAGGGGTCTCCGGAGCCTAGCTGAAGCCGAACAGCACCGCGAAATCCAGACCCTAAGAAGCCCCACACCGTCTGTGGCAGGCGATGGTTTGGGGCTCACGGCTGAGGGTTCAGGATTTGAAGGTTTAGGGGTCGGAGTTTTGGGAGTCTGGGCTCACTGGCTCAGGAGGAGGCTTGCGAGATTTGGCTTCAGCAGATAAGACTGATAGTCCAGAGGAGGCTCTTGTGCTCGGGCTCAAACAAAGTTGGACTGGGCAATTCTGGGCATCTGGGACTTGACGTGTGCCTTTGTTTATGCTGCTTTTTTGTCCAAGGGTGTGGGGGGGTTCTCCGTCGGACTTTCCATGCTTTGGGTACACCCTGAACCCGAAACGGTTTCAAGTTCGCAGGAATGGGCTTCTCTTGGGGTGATGGCTTTTAGAAGATCCAGCTCATCCTTCCCTCCTCCGGGGAACGCACCACATGCTAAGTCTTCAGGGTTGTGACACTCGCGGCTGAGACAAGCCAAGCAAGGTCTGAAACTGCATCCAACACGGAGCTTTCTTCAGGGTTTCAAACTTAAACCCAGGCTTGAGGGCCTGTGTGTACGTCGTGCCGCCGTCCAGTGCAGGGATGTCACACTGGCCATTTTTGTTGGTACCGCAGGCCGCGACCTCGGAGTAAAATCTCAGCGAGAAGCTGGTCATTATTCACACTCCAGTTGCTGGAGGTTGCAAGATTGCCTGTGTGCGCACCGACTGGTGCACCAATACGTGTATCCATCCATCCATGCTCCCGTCCCTACCTACCAGCCTGCACGCACGGAAAAGGTACATCAGCATCGGTACCGATAACTAGATATGGATTATCCATGAACGCAGATGAAAACATTTACGTGTGGACGATGTGCTGATTACTTTCTCTCTCTGCCGCTTCTGCTTCTCCTCTCATAATGCCAGCAAGCAGCTTCAGGGCTGCGCACACATACAGCTTTCGGTGTTTGCTGCAGTGGTGCCGGACTTGTCAAGAACGTTTTACAAACACCGTGTCCTCTGACTTGCGTGCTGATGCAGGTGGGTAGCAAGAGAGCAGCAACAGTTGCAGGCATGGTTTCTGCGGCACAACCCCCGCCGAAACACGACCCATCTGACTTTGGCCTGAACTGTCTCTCCAAACTAAGTGCCAGGTAGCCGTGCCACTGTTCTTCAGCAGCACAATATGTCCGTAGCCGCAGGCCACCTGCGGGGTGCGGGAGGTGGATCAAGTTCTGTGGCACAAACCGCCGACAAGCCAGGGGTTTAAGAAGCCAAGAGTTCCCTCCTCCCTGCCCTGTTCAGGATGTGCCGATGCCAAGAGTGACGAACATCAGACAGCCCTACCTGCAAGATCTTGCAAGCTTCTCACAATGACGGGATGCTTTCAGTCTTTGCGACTATCAAACCGAATATTTTGATGCGTTCGCGACATTCGGCCTGGCCCACTTCGGAGCTGCAAACATGTATGTGACAACAACAGCAGACTTCGTCACAGTGACGAACATGGAGCCTGTGCTTACCTGCAACGGCACAAGCTCCTAAAACAGGTACACCTAGAGAAGTTTCAAATGGTCCCGCCCGGCCTGGGTGTAGCGCTCACCCGGGTGGAGTGGTGGTATGTTGCATTGGCCTTTGCTCGGAATTCAGTGGCTCAGCCGGATCTCGAAACAGTGTTCAGCCACGATGTGTAGTTACTGCCAAAACCTGCAACTGATATACCGTTCCTGTTACATACCCCTGAACTACTCCGGCATGAAAGCCTTCACCCCTGATACCACGACCCACCGCGGAGCATAAAACTGTGACGAACTGCCGTCTTCGAGAGATCCTCTAACCGACGAGCACCCGGAGCTGTTCGACTACTCGTAGCCATCATCGCTCAATAACTTTCTAGGCCCGCTGTGCTGTGGTATGGCTGATGGATTCTAAGATCCTAGTTCTTGCTTGTCCAGCTTCCTAGAAAACTAAAGGTTAACCTTCCTTGGGGTTGTACAAGAGTACAACTCCGGATGCTGAACGGTTGAAACCTACCTACTCCACATTTTTGAAATTGTACGTTTAAGTTGTATTGTGTATTTACACATCTTTTACTATCCAAATACACGCCTATACTATACATATGTATGTATGTATGTATATGTA